CGGGATTAAATAGTTCCTCTGCATGCCGTAACATGGAACGGACCAAATAGGATTTCCCGCTTTGACTTTGCCCACAAATATAAAAAATTGCTGGTGTTTTAAATCTCACGTCCATTGTGTTCACGTGCACAACACGCACTGCGTTATGATTTGATGTGTCCGTTCGTTTTATATCTTAAACACCTGTCTGATCATTCTACGGAAAATACTCTCTTCTTCAATTCGATATGCACTAAAGTCAAAGCTTCTCAGAGGGGCCGCAACCAAACGAACAGCCCTCCGCGTTGTATCCTCGGAACTGTGCATCAAATAAACTAATGTCAAATAGGCCATAGCACGGCCAAAATTAGTCACGTTGATCGTGTTAAAAACAACATGCATTTCATTAGGATTAACATTCACTACCATTTGATTGTACAACGCCTCATGGCGCTCAAGCAAATCATTAATAGTATGCGATAATGTTCTCATGTCAATATCAACGCCCCGCGCTTGCAATTCGTCTAGTATCACTTCCATCGCAACAAAACAACAAATGAATACAACAAGTGAAACAATTTATTTATATGCAACAGATCTCAAATTCAAAAGGGGGAAAAGGGGTATGGCGAACACGAAAATGTATATATGTTTAGAGCAAAAATATTGTTAGTTTTTGCCGTGACGTCATAGCACCCAAACAATAACGGTGGCTGTCCTGCCTGGGTTAGAACGCCCAGTCAGCAATCGGGCCATCGGGCCTAATCGGGCCAAAAAGTGCCATTTCGGGCCTAATCGGGCCAAATATAATATCCGGAACTCGAAAGATGAGCTAATTATTGATAGGAATTCGTTGAGCAAACATGGGTCGCACGCGTAGGGACTGTCCTGTATTTGGTTGTAGTGGTACAAATCTTGCAAGGTTAGCAAATCATCTCGATCAAGTACATGATATGAACACAGAGGAACGCAAGAAATGGTTGAAGTGGAGTAAAATAGGAATCTGTGTACCTCGACAGAGTGAAGAGCCAAAAGAATTCAATGTAGAAAAGAGTCTGGAAAATTTACTAAAGCGACAAGAGGAGATGGAGAGAAACTTTAACGTTTACTTACAAAATGCAAGATTAAAGCATGGAGACAATAGTAAACGAAAATCTAAATCGGAGGACCACAAGGAATGGTTGGCATTTTAGTTTATTTACTCGACTACGAGAAAGTACCCTTGTTGCTTACGAACAAGAAATGATGTGCATTCAAAGTTATGGATGTTAACTTTGTTAAGCCCGTAGAGCATTAAAGGACAGAACTACTAAACGGAGGATGGATGATCTAAACTGGAGAACACTGTAAAAGCCGGACAATATATTTAAGAACTGTTTATTTGTGTAAATAAGTACTGTATTTTAAAAAAATGAATAGTTTAAGAACTATGCCGTGTCAATTTATGCGAGTCTCATTAGCATTAACATTCAATACCATTTGACTGTACAGCGCTCCGTGATACTCAAACAAATATCTGACATGATGGGAAAATGTTCTCATGTCAAAACCATTTTCTCGAAGCCCATCTAGTATCGCTTCCATTGCAACAGCAAATGAATACAACAAGTGAAACAATTTATTTATATGTAAAAATCATGACTGACGTCATCATGTACAACATTTCATAAAAAATTACACGTAATTATCTACAACTTTAACTCGTTTGCAAAATCATGCATGAATTTAGTTGTTAAATAACTGTTCTTATTGCAACTCTGTCCCTCTAATGGACCATTAGAAAAAAGTGATAGGTTCACGGATTGAAAAAATCCCAATTGTTCGTCAGGTGCCCACTCGAAAAACCTACACGAACTCTCCTTGTCATTAGGACAACTAAAGAACAATCGATCTTTGTTAAGACCTTCTTTTTTCACCTTACAGACCACACACGGTAATCCATGGCGACATTCCGGTTTCGCTTATGGCTGCACATCACCCCACATCCAAAAGGAACAAGGCTTCGTCTTTTCTCCACACACGAAGAACGGTCTTCCATAATTCACTTTCATCAAATCTTTTACCACACACATTTTCGCAAGCTTATGATGTTCATCGCACCGAGGATGAGGCTGATTCGTAGCTCTCAATGCAGTTATAGCTTTTTCATACAAATAGTCTTCATCTTCTGCACAGAAGAAATTGCAGGTAGGGTTTTGACCACAAAACCAAAATGAACCGTTCTGAGTTGTCGAATGAGCAGCGGGTTCGCCATGTAAGCACTTCATCTCTTCACAAGAACTATAAGCACATGAACAAAAATCGCTCGTCTCCTCTATTTATATTCTCCATCCAACACGGCTAACCAATCAGAGACGAGTATGATCATGACGTAGTTTAAGGGTGTACGTACACCGTGTACGTACACCGTGTACATACATAGTATACGTACGGGGTGTACGTACACCGTGTACGTACACCCTGTACGTGTACGTACACCTGTAGTATAAATACACTTCCTCATAATCATCAACCACACATCGAAATGGAATGCATAGGAGTTTTACCAGCGCCCGAAGATGTTATACCACCAGCAAATATACCTCTATTCGGAATCCTGGCGGAAAATATCACAGAACCGGGACAGTGCTATTTCTGTTTTGAACAGATTGATGGAAACGAACTACTTGCGATGACGATGCAATGCTGTCAACAAAAAGCTCATTGTCGATGCCTCCAGATGTGGGCGGTACATTACAACGGAACAGACAT